TTTTTTTTTTTCTTTTTTTTTTTTTTTTTTTTTTTTTTTATTAATTTAATGAGACGTTCGAGGAGACGAGAGCTTTTAAATATTGTAAAATAATAATTATATCGGCGATTTGTCTTTTTGGCATATCCTGGCATAAAGAAAGCCTTCTTTTCATTAAATAACATCTATTAATCACGATCCATTGTCGTACACTCTTCCTCTACTCTTCCACACCGCGCCCTCCCCCCACACCCACCCCACCCACCCACCTCTTCGCCAAACCCCAACTAAGACTTTGTCCGATGCGACATTCTAGATCTTGGAAATGCAATGTCAATTACCTTGACACTAACCGGCATTTCACATTTCACATTTCACATTTCACATTTCACATTCACATTGCTCTCTATTAAAACAACATACTCAGCCATATTTATCATTTACGGTCGAAGGAATAGCGTGTAAAGGCCATTGTGCGCATGTGCGTAAGCGATACGGCCACATCGAGTGAAACGTTATCTCGCATTTTTAGTCGTATATTTGGTGAGATAATTGGCCGATATCTAAGTAAGATAGGACACTACAAACGCAGCGATAAATATCAATGGGGAAAGTCCTTGGGCGAGCCTTACAGTTTAGAATAATTTGATTTTCAGAAAGCATGGAGCAGTTCGAACAGCTGCTGACATGCGCTATCTGCCTGGACCGCTACAGGAATCCAAAACTTCTGCCCTGCCAACACAGTTTTTGTATGGAGCCCTGTATGGACGGTTTGATCGATTACGTTCGTCGACAGGTCAAATGTCCAGAATGCCGTGCCGAACATCGCATACCATACCAGGTACGTTTTGTACGAGGTATTTTTTTTTTCCGCCCTGGTGCTTTTGACACTTTTGTCACGAGCCGATGATTAAGCTTTTAGCTGAAACATTCAAACGCCAGCGGCGGCTATCCCATTTTCCTCGTCCCCCGAGTTTTTGTTTTTATTCGCCTATAGTCCGTCGCTTAGACTACTTGTATTTATCATCGCGGGCAATTTGCGAGAGAGTAAAGTGACGTAAGATATCCGAAGATTATCGGTATGAACAAATAGTCGAAACATTAAGAATCTATAAGCAACAAATATTTTTATTATTTAAGCTTATTGTTAAGAACATTAAGTTATACGTGACACGTATACGAAATTAATGCCACCCAATAAGCTTACGAGCAAAGGATTTTCCATAGAAACAAATAATCGCAATTTTAATAATTGCAATTTTTTTCTGATAATACGGCAAGATTATTCGATTGAATTTAATTATAAAGAATTGCGCTATTATCGTAAAATACGCATAAAATGTTCATAATCCAAATTTGTACTAGGCCCAACGATCTACTGCATTTCAACAAACGAATTGCAATGATAAAAAGAGGAAATTAATAAAGTAAAAAAAAAAAAAATTAAAGAAAACAAGTAAAAAATAGTATTAGCAACAACGTGTAAATTGCTCAATTACAACAATAATAAAAATAATGATGTTACGAAGGAAAAAATTTTTTAATGTTGACTGTGATTCGCTTGCAAACGCAACATACGCGTTTATCCTTATATATCCTTATAGCTATATATTTATATAGCAGTCGCGGAATATCGGCTTATTAAATAATCTAGAATAAAGACGAATCTCGGGTAGAGCGGGTGAAATTTGTCTCCTCGAGCGTGAGATTAAATCAAACGGCATTAATTAATTTCGCAGGGCGTGCAAGCCTTCCCCACCAACGTCACGCTTCAACGCTTCCTCGAGCTGCACATCGAAATCACGGGGGAACTGCCGGATCCCACCAGCGGCCAAATTATGGAACGCTGTAGCGTTTGCTCCGAGAAGAGTTACTGCAACCTCTGCGCTCACTGCGAGAAAAAGTGCTGCTCGGAATGCAAGGAGGAGCACATAAAGATACTCCGGAAGAACATTGGGAGCATTAATTCGCAGGTGAGACTCTTCTGCGTTGATCGGCTTCGTTATTTATCTCGTTCGTTCTATTTCATTAGGCGCGAAATATTTTTAAATGGCCGTCAACTCCCATGCAATAATAATACGCCCTTAAATTATCACGGTGACCTAACTAGTTTATCAGTAATGAAAAATCGGCCAAACTAATCGATAACCTCGCAAAGAATCGATGAACAACGTTGTTGTATTGATAATTTCTGCTCGTAAGTACATCTGTGGAAAAAGGCCACCGGCAATAGGTGAATGATAATAATAATAATGAAAATTAACAACAATAATGATAATGATAATGATAATTATAATGATAACAACAACAGCAGCAGCAGCAGCAACAGCAACAACAACAACAACAATAACAACAATAATGATATTAATGCGTATCTATCGAAGTTACGTAATCCCTAACTTATCGGCCGGAAGTACGTACCTGCTGAGGAGTGTATTTTTTGAAGGCCGGCATGTTACCAACCGGTTTGTAATTCCAAAACTAGCTAATCCCTTTCGGTTTCAACGTAGACTAGATTCTTGCAATTGGACTGCCTTGAATTTGTCACGAAACTTCTTTGTCAAATCTGTAATTGGATATTATCGCTATTTAGATTGATATATTAGTATTGTTCATTGGACACCAAACTTTCATAATACATATTACATAATATTGGTCTTATTTTGTTCATTTGTTATATATATATATATATATATATTTTTTTTTTCTTTTTCTCATTGCAAACGATGTTAATCAGACGTTACCAATACATTGAATTACCAATGGCCATATAAGTGAAATTTGATTGGAAAAATGGCCAAATCCAAAAAATACAAGCGATTGATTCACTCTATTTTGTAACTATTGCACTAGTGCACTTTATCATCGCGAATATACTACGAATTATATCTCTTATAATAATTTTCGCCAGAAGTTATCTTAACTCATAGTTTCTAACCAAGATAGGTATGCCACTTGAGCTTTAACTTTCCCCTCCGAGTTGCGGTTATGTCCGACTCAGAAATTCTCCCCATAATGATTTTCTTTATGATATTCAAGACTAACGAGAAGGATATTACAAATTGGTCATTGTTAAGCAAAATCATTAAAAATTTTTATAATATTTTTAAAAACCATATATTTTTTATATGCTTTGAGAAAGATATTATCAGAAACGAAGGTGAGATATCTTTAAAGTCTCTTTACCTTTATATTAATCGATATTTCTGCTGAATTGTAAATAGAACGTTGTAATATTTTGTAATACTTGAGTAATTCTTCGGTTATCTGCAAAAATATAATGGTTTCAACGAATCAATTATCTATAAAGTGAAATCATTTTTTAATTTTTTTTTTTTTTTTTTAATTTTATTTAAATGGCTTATGTTAACATTACGAACAAATAAAAATTTATAGGCTACTAGAGGATTTAGATTTTTTTTTTTTTGAAATTTTTTGAAACAATCGAATGTTGTTTAGCCTAAAAGACAAATCAAAAAGCAAATATATATATATATATATATATATATATTCATTATATGGAAGGTAAACCGATAAATCTCATACTATAGATAGTATATTATCGAAAATAAATAAATCAAAATATAAATGTCAGATTAGTATTTAAATAAAATCATTATTTACTAGACAGACAAATATAATAATGCAAGGGAATGATAAATCTCAACTATAGATCTTTTAACATATAATATTTACAGCTTGTAAAATTTTGTAAAATAATAATAAAAGTCCATATGCCAGTTTAGTATACTCAAGCGTCTAAAAATTACTAAATGTCGCGATAATGAGATCTAATGGGTTTATCGGTATGGATCTTAACATTAAATCCTCGCCAATGTACTTTGCGCTGAAAATGCGATATTAAGACTAGACTTTTTAGTAAAACGAGGGTAAAGCATCCGCGTGATCCTGAATGTGCAGGTTCGCCGGGCATTACACAGATTGCAGGAGGCACTGGCGCAGGTCGAGAAGAACACTCTTGCCCTGCAGACGAACACGGCGTCGGTGAACGAGGAAGTTGACGAGATTTACAGGAGACTGAATAAGGCCTTGAAGGATCGCACGGAGTTCCTGCGCAACGAGATCGAGCGCTATTCCAGCACGGAACTCCGGGGCCTCATCCATCTTAAGGAGAATCTCGAGCAGGAGATCGCCAACATCCAGAGCAACTGCGACCTTGCCGATGCGCATATCAACGAAAACGTCCCTTGGGACGACAACGAGCTCCTGGACACCAAAGAATTATTCCTTCGTACTCTCGAATTCATAAGGTAATTTGGTCTAGACAAGCGTTTGTAAAATTAGAATAGTCGGGGGTTCTTGCCAAACCCTTATAGATAGGCATTATTAAATAAGGAATATCTTACTTCCCATCTATAATGCGAGTGAAGCTAAACGATTCGTCAATTATTACGTCCGATAGATTCTCCTAATAGATTTAATGATAATTTATTTGGATTATTTCACAGTTTTCTCATTAACTAACTTCATTAGAATTGAAATTGTACATAACTTTTGTTAATACAGTTTATTCTTGAAATTATTATTATTACTGTAGTCCAATCCTTTTCATGGTTAATAGACTAAATTACCCCATAGAATTAAACAAGTAAAAAATTACTTAAAAAGGCTTATGCTTTCTATAACAGTTAGTTATAATCCAAAGAAATTTTATAAATTAATAGTGTGATAATATCAAGGAGTCATATACCAATAAATTCTCATAATTTGCATTTAAAATTTAATCATAAATCTATTCCATTCGCTAATTAAAGTACTAAACTAGAATTATTTTTTTGACGCTATTTTGACACGCCCCATTTTGACGTTACCAATGAGAAAAAAATTTCCTACTCTTCCACTTAAATACAAAGTATCTTTATTAAGATCGATTACTAATGAATTGAGCACTAAATATTCGAATGTTTAATGTTATTAAGGCTATTGCAATGGATTAGTTAATAAATAATTTCAAATTGCAAAAGTTACTTTGCCCATTATATTGCTGATTAATCAGAAACATAATAATAATTGCTCTAATTGGACAAATATACATATATATATATATTTGTCCAAGGTCAGACGTAATTGTCTTAAATTGACAGCTCCTGCGTCTCTGCATACTATTAAAGTTTCTTTTAAAAGTTATTCAGGTCAAGTAACCATAATACTGATTATGTTAATAGCTCTGTAAAAGCCATTCGCACCCCAATAGCCCCGTACGAAAGAAAAAGTATACAGAAGCAGCAAAATGTTCGCAAATTATTTATCCGTAAAGCCCAATAACTCCGTGGGTACTTGGTCTTAATTCAAAATTAATGCAATAACTTTGGACGGCCATGTCGCAACAGACGTGCCTCACAAAATAACGGATAAGAAAATCCATCCCGAGAACAACAAACTCTCGTTACCCCTAGCCAAGATCAGAAGCCCCCGAACAAATCAATGCGTAAGCTCGACTCGCAAGCCCGGAATACAAAACCAAGGACTTGGAGCATTAAAGCTCAGGCGAAGAATGTTTATACCCCCAGGAACTTCGAGTACGAAGCCGGTGACTACGGCCGTCGCATGCGCTTCGTAATGACGCACGACCCGAACCAGCTGGTGATCCACGTCGCCGGCTACGGGGAGCTCAACATCAAGCCCGAGGTGGGGAGCAACGCGCTGCTCGGGAGCTCGAGCAGCCTGACGGTGCCCGGCGGCTCGCCAGGGCTCATGCGCAGCAAGAGCGACCATCGGCTCGCCTCCCAATACCGACAGCAGGACGACGACCGCACCCATGGCAGGAACCGTTACGTCCCCGACTACGAGTAAGTACAGATACAAAGCTTCGCCTATAACCCTACCGATCGTCATCCCCAGCACTCTGACCTCCGCGACGATTCGCGGCCTTTCGTCCCCAAGCCTTGACTATCCAAACTAGCGTAAGCCCTCGGGGCTGCTTTCAGTGGGTGGGAAAACTAGGGCGGGTGGGAGGTTGGGTTGGTTCCAGCCGCGAACATAACCTCAACAGCGCGTCTTACACTTGCGCACGTAGTCCTTCTCCACGATCAATAGCCGCTTCGACGAGACTCGCGCATTTTGCCATCGCGTACAAGATTTCACGGGCCTTGCCTTAATTATGTTTACATCTTCATGCATTCACATTGCCCGGCCATATTTACCCGCCTAAGAGGTTAGTTTGTAAACACCCCTTGGGTAGAGTCGGCTGCTGTTACTTTGGAGTGATAATCGATAGTGTACTCATTCTAATTCTCCTCAAGCTTCCCAAGCGTTATTTCACTTACGCGAGCACGGCATTCCACTTGCATAAATTGAGCACCAATTGATGCCTATTTCATCCCTAAATATCTTGATGGTTGCAAGGACTTTCGTGAATATACAAACGAGTTGTTGTCCTCAAGCATCTAGACAGTTTATTTTATTACTTGACGTAAGCGCTTAATAAATTATTGCATCATTATGAGGGTTCAAAGGAAGAAATATCTTACTTAGTTTTCAATATGAATTGACACTTTTACGTACTTTAGCATTGCTTTACGTTATTTCGCCAATCATTGCCGACAGCATTTCACATTCGCCTCTTGCTACAGTAGCTTTTCTTCAATATTTCCAAATTCTTTGAATTTCTTGAGCTCTGTCGTTGTATCGCGAGCTATTACGTACATCGAGGCATCTTCATTCTTTATACATTTTAATTATTACCAGTATTTTATCATTGCCGTAACATTCATGAAATTCATATATTTAAATACTTTTTCGGTAACTAATCAAGCTGGTATGGAAATATAAAAAATATACAAATACAAAATTCTTCGAATATTAATATTTATATATATATATATAAGAATTATTTAATAAAAATATGCTGATTATACTATCGTATTAGATCATTAAACAAGTGATTTAACTAATTACTAAAGAGATTACGAAAGAGAAACATAAATATATTGATTTTTCAATTGTCCTCCCGAAACTTCTCTTATCAAATAAGACAGTGTATTGACTTTGAAAAGAACTTCGCCTTAAATTACAAATGAAACCCAGTCAGACTTATCAAATTATCTTCCCTACTCTATGTGATTAAATATTTTTAAATTTAACAAACAGAATATTTAAAATTTTGTAAAACAAGATAAGATAATAAATTTCTAATAAACAAAATTACCATAACTAATGAAATTCAAGTACTTAAAAAAAAATAACCTATAGTTTTTATAGGTAAATTAAGAATTCTATATATATATATATATATATATATATATATATATATATATATATATATAGATAAATTGGTACATAATTACATAGTATTTCTAAAAGTAATCAAAAATGTCAATTTTTCTTAAAATAAGGAATATAATTATTCGCTAGGAAAATTTCTATTAATAATTCATTTATTATATTATATTTCGCAAGCAATGGAATGATAAATATAAAAACAAAATTACAATATGATAATCAATTATTCATAAACGAAAATATTATAATTTTTAATTACAGTCTCAAGCTCAGTGGAATAATATACATTAACAATTCATTAATTTATTTATAATTTTTTAAGACCGTTTGTATTTATTAGATAAGAGTTACCGGTAAAGTAATATATCATTTATTATATAATATTCATAATTTTTCATAATCAGTTTTTATAAAGCTTTTTCAATCAAATACTCACATTACTCACAATAACAAAGTCATATTCTAAATAAATTAGCTTCTCATTTTTCTATATATAAGAATATTATTTATGTAAAATTTTATAATGCTTAGTGTCTATAATATTAATACAATTAATTAATAAAATGTAAATCCATTTATGAAATTAATACCAATGACAACTATAAGGTTTCTTATTCAAAAACTAAAAATATAAAAAAAAACTTCATTTAATAAGGTTAATATTATGCATAAATTATTCGTAAAATATTACTAATAATGTTCTTTGACGTATGAATAATAACAAATATTTTTAATAATAAACAATATTTATAAACCCAAAAACGTTAAAGCTTTTGAAACTATTCTATTAAATAAAATATACATTGTGTTTTAAATAGCATAAAATAGTATATTTAATAATGTTAATTATATGAAAAAATATTTTTTTATTCTCTAATTATATTTGACGTAAAAATCTGAACAAATTTGTAATATAAATATACGAAAAATATAAAATAAATTACATATTAAAACTGTATAACGTTTTTAATATAATATGAACATCATTTGTTGACAAAGATTTATCAACATTAATATTGCTCGTCAATAGATAAATATATACATAAAATAAATCTAATAATTAACATTAGTATTAAAATTAATTAACAGCAGTAAATTGAATTTGATTTGAATTGAATAATTTGTTGCTGAATTAAATTGCGCTCTTACATAAAATTAATAGAATTACATTTTAAAGATAATAAGTATATTTATTATATTTTCTAAAATTGGTAATACAGTTATTCGCAAAATGATTACCCGAAATTATGTAGAATATTATATATAAATTATATAAAAGTTTATCTTTAAAAAGTAAATAATATCGAAGTATTTAATTAAAAACCGATTGTTATCTTTGAAATGCTATTTTATTTCATATTTGCTATAATCTGAAATTTAAATTATGCAAAATCAAAAAAAAGAAAAAAAACTAAAAACTCGACTTATTTGTTGGTTAACAGAAAAAACAAATCACAACTACAAGCTAAGCAACATTCAAGGTAATTATTTCTGATTTAAAGAAAGCTTTTATTTTTTCTGTACAATCAGAGAGTTTAGTAGTAAATCAATTATAAAAAAATTTTTTTTTTTCATATACATAAATATAATTTTCCTCTATATTAAATCTAAATATAAATAAAGCATCAGACTAATAAAAATATTAAAGTAAACTTTATTCATTTAGCTTTTAAGATTAGAGAAATAAACTTCTTTAAATAAACTTAAAGTCTGAATTTTATGAATTGAATTAAAATAGATCATTCTGGTGACATTCCAAAATCAATTTTCGGAACAAAATAAAGTGTCGAATAATTGGTAATTTTATTTATAGAAATTGTAAATGAATATAATAATAATATTTGTTCTTCCTACGCAGATAATTATTTTTATTTATGTAAATTATTTATTAATGATGTTTTTAAAATTTCAAAAAATTAACAATATACTTTTAATTTCTTTCAAATCGTAAATTTAACGTAATTAGATTTATACGGATCTATGCTTCAACAGTTTTATTTTTGTCCTCGTTTTACAAGTTTTTTTTATTTCTATCTCCATTGAAATACCATAAAACAGTGGAATTGAAAGCTTTGATTACTATATTATGTTTCACATTAGCAGTAATGTAAATAGAAAAGAAAAATAGGAATTTAGAATAGCAAGAAACAGCTACAATTCATGAAAACAACTGCTTCGCATATAATCGAATACTAGTCTAAAGATTGAAAGTTATTCCAACAAAATATCTCTCTTTTTCCTTTTTTTTTCTTCTTTTTTTTTAATCATGATTTAATAAAAAGAAAATAGTAACGTGCAAAGCGTATAGTATTGTACGGATCATAGTAGTGAATATTTAGAATACCATGGAGACATTAGACGTGTTACTTTGACCAACGTGTATTCTAAAGCATCATTTAGTCCGACAAATCGTAGTAGTTTAAAGAAAGCGATCGAGTATAGCTGAGGAGCCATCGTATAAAGAGGGACAAATTGTTGTTTCGCAAGAGTACAGCTCAACTTTGTCTGACAGAGTATACCGAGTGTTCCTCGGTCAACGTGGGCTCTTGGTCGGTTTTAGGCGTCGACAGCAGCAACGTTGACAGCGGTGGTGGCGACGGCAACGGCAACGCTGACGGCTGTGGTGGCGACGGCAACGGCAACGGCAACGGCGACGGCGACGGCGACGGCGACGGCGGCAGTGGTGGCAGTGGCTACGGCGGTGGCGACGATGGTGACGGTGATGATGGTGACGGTGACGCTGACGGTCACGAAGACGGTGACGCTGTCTGTGGCGGCAGCTCTAGTTAAAAGGGCTTCGATCGCTTGGTCTACGCAGATTATTTTGGCACGGTGCCATCGCGAGAAAGAGATAGGGAAA